CTCCTTCTTCAGCAAAGCATCCGGTGGATTTGAACCTTGTGCCTCTGGGATTGCAGTGCAGCTTCTTGCCACTAGGCCACCAGAGCTCGCCTACCATTGATGTTCACAAGGTATTTCTTGATTTTTTTCAGTGTTAGCAGATTCTTTTTGGTACAGTGATTCTGTGTATTCCTCTCATTGTCTTTTGATGCTTACTGTATGGTTCAAGATTTCCCCATAGCATCTTGTCAGCATTGCAGCTTGGCCTTGAATTTAATTTTCAGTCTTTCAACTTTAGAAATACCAAGTGAGTTCTTCCCTTTTTATTCTCCACTTCATGCTCTTTGCACCTTCCGTTATAATACTTTGCTTTGTCTTCTTGATCTATCCCCTGAAATCTTCCATTCATATCTTTGATTTTACAATGTATCCCCTTTGTTTTGACATTGTAATACTCTATTGCAATTTTCAGAGATCTTCTGTCATCTGTCTCCCCCCCTCTCTTTTTGTAACCACCTTTTGCTCTTTTCATGGATGATATCCTTGATGTTATTCCATAACCCCTCTGATCTTCAAGCATTAGTGTTTAATGCCTCAAAACTGTCCTGGAGTTAAGTTTTAAATTTAAGTGGGACAGACTCAAAGCCATATTTTGGTTTTTGTGGGCTAGTTTTTGTTTTCTTCAGGTTCAATGTGAACTTACATAGGAACAATTTCTGATCTGTTCCACAGTCAGTATCTGGCCTGATCTCCACAGCTGATTTTGAGCTTCTACAGTGATTCTTTCCACAAATGTAGTCAATCTGATTCCTATGCATCCCATTAGAGGAGATTCATGTATAAATTCACTGTTTGTGTTTCTTAATAAAGGTATTTTCAGTGACTAAATCATTGAATGAACAGAATTCAATCATTCATTATCCAGCCTCACTTCTGCCACCACAACCATACTTTACAACTACTACCCCTTCCTCATTGTTTCCAATTTTTGAGTTCCAGTCACCGAAAATTATTAATGCACCTTGCTTGTATGTTTGGTTAATTTCGAACAGTGAAAGTTGATACAAGTTGTTCATTTTCTCTTCTTCAATTTTAGTCGTTGATACATATATTTGAATACTAGTTGTATTAGCAAGCCTTCCTTGACTGCATATGATAGTATCCTGTTACTCACAACATGGTACATTCGCACAAATCTTGAAAGTATCTTTTTTTACTATGACTACAAGACCATTCTTCCTCAGTTTCTCATTCCCAGCATAATCAATCATAAGATTGTCTGATTCTTAATGGCCCGTGTCCATCCATTTCAGTTCACTAATGCCTGCATTGTCAGTGTTCATATGTTCCATCTCATTTTGTAAAATTTCCAGCTTTCCTACATTCATACTTAGTAAATTCCATGTACCAATTATGAAAGGGTGTTAGCAGCTGTGTCTCCTTATTTTGAATGAGTTCCAATCTTGGTTCTACAACTAAGATTATATTTCTCTATTGTTCATAGGGTTTTCAGAGGCCTGTTAGTTCAGAAGTGGATGGCCAATCCCGTTTTCTAATCTGTTTAATCTGAGAAATCTCCTGGAATCTGTCCACTATGAGTGGCTCTTCTGGCACCTGAAAGACTGGGGGTGTCGCTTCCACAAAGCATAATGACCCACCTACTCTCGATGCTGTGATTTTTTATTGCCATTATGGAAGCTATAGTAGAAATATTGTTATAGAGAACACTAGTCTTTTTCTGATTACTTTCCATGTGTTTAGATTTTGGGTTACAGTGGTACTTTTATTAAATGAGCATTTGTGATCCATTACAGCTTCATTCCTTCTACTGCCTCCTCCCATTCCATCATCCTATTCAACCCTGAACTTGATAGTCTGGTAAATTTCTCTATTTGCTACTTCTCTGAAATGTCAGCTCTTTATGTCTGGAAAGACTGGAGATAGACCGATCATTGTCAAATGCTAATGTTGCCTTCTTGTTACGTGCCTTTGAGTCACCTGAAATGGTGAACCTATGTACTACAGCTCTGAATCCTGCTCTATCCTGAGCCAGTCTCACTGTCTCCAACATGCCTACCCACCTTACTCCAGTTTCCATGCCTGTCTGTCTCATCCACGCTCTTCCTCTCCTACAGAGTCCCCCACCCTTTCAAGTAAGAAGTCCTGCTTCAAGGACTGATCCTGCCTGGAAACATGTCTGTTTTTTATAATCACTTTAATCACCAAAATTTTTTCTATCTGTAAATATAGACCATGCCAGAACCTATACCTCATAGTCTTTGAAGATTGACTAGGAGAAAGACAGAAGTACTTGGCACTATCTGGACCAGGTTGTAAGCAAAGCCCTCAATAAATATGAATTTGTTTTCATTGATTATATTCTCTAGACTCTTAGAATGCACCAGTGTGAGGCTTGTGGGACTGTATTTCTTTCCATCATTCTCTTCCCTCATTTTCACCACTGAAACCAATGAACACATTCATGATATAAAAGATAAACATACAGTGAATTATGCATTCATACACCAGGCTCAGAAAAGTCTTTTCAGTTATTATGGATTTATTTATAGCTGTCATGCAGAGACTTGTACATACCAGAAAGTTTAATATAGGTTTGTTTTGTATTTTTATAAATGGAATAAACACATGAGTACTTGAAGAGTAATCTGCTTGAGATACACACATATTAAATCAAGTCTCCCAAAACACCCAACTTCATTTTTAGAAGACAATGACTCTTTTTAAACTAACAGTTTGTGGAGTTATTTCCTGTATCACAATGTTGTTGTTGTGTTTTAACTTCTGCAGCCCTCAGCCTCTTTGTAATTGTTGTTGGTCAAACATTCTTCTTGGTCATATAGCCCTGGTGTGTCCACTTGCCATACACAGGTAACTGAGCTGTGAAGCTGAACACTGACACGGATGTGTCAAATATGATAATGATTACACATGTTGGACAGTGTTTGGTGGAGCTTCCCAATTAAAAAAAGCTTGGAAGCAGGAGTGGCATCCACTTCCATAAATAGGAAACTCTATGAACCTGGAGAAAGAATGAAAGTTATACAGGTGTCCAGGTCTTTCATTCACAGGGTTATAATGAGTGCAACTCGACAGCACTTAACAACAACATTTCATTTTACTGACAATTTTAGAATAAAAGAATAAGATTCCCTTGTCTCTCTTTACAACGTGGGCAAAAATGATCAACTGTTTTAAAATTAAAGTCTACATGCTCACAAGTATAATAGGGGAAGGGCAGTACTTCACTCCCATAGGCACATAATCTTAACAGCTGATTTAACCATTGGTTTTTCCTGACTCAAGCAAAGAACTGCTGTCATGACCTATGCAGATGTGGCTGAGATGTCAGAGGTCGCACAGCCAAGAGGGCACATATCCATCAGATCCTGGTCCATAAGATCCTGGTCCAACACTGTGATTGACCCTTGAGAAGTATGACCACAAATCCAGCTATAATATTCACAGTGATGTGACAACTTGAATAACTTCTACATGAGTATCAATTTACCATGTGCCCAGAAACTACATGTAGTGCTATTAATGTATCACAATTTAAAAAAAAAAAACAAAACCCACAATATTTTAAAAAAAGAACACAAAGTACTTTGGAAATAAACTGAAGTGAGACTTAATTCGAATACAACTCAATAAGTAAGAGTATAAGAAGCTCTCGTAGCAGGGGTATTATATGTTATGTAATTGAAAGTCTCATGGATAGAATCCAGCAGTTGTGCTATGCGAGAAAGATGGGCTGTCTCCTTCTGCAGAGATTTACAGGCTTGGATGAAGAGCTGCTTTAGAACTGGCTTTGGCTTTACTTGAGAGCTTAAGTGTGAGAATATGAGTGTATACACACCTCTGAGTATCTTATAAGCTGTGGACATGTGAGTGCATAAAGCGAGGAAACCAGATAACTCCTGAAATGAATGGATATGAGTCAAGAAAGTTTCTACTGTACTGCATATTTTCTTGATGACTTGAGTAAGAATAAGACCTTATTTTTTATTAACTCCAGAGAGTGTGTGTCTTCAGGTTCATTATCAATGGTTTACAGACTTCCTATACATCTCTTTGGACTACAGAGCATTTTTTTTAAATTTTATTATTTGTGTGTGTGTACCGTCAAATCTGATCTTACTGATACAGGAGGAAATTGCCCCTCCTTCTCCAGCAGAGCATCTGGTGAATTTGAAAATTACAAAGCATTTTAAAACCAGAATTCATGCTTTGTCAACTAGACCGATTAAGTCAGAATTCCTAAAACTCTAGTTTAGAATTTTTAGCAGACTCCCTAGGAAATTCTTATACAGAAAGTGTTGCAAACCACTGACCTCTACTTAATCATATTGTTTTAACCTAATGTCCTGGAAGAGTTTATTGAAAGAATTTGAAGTTGTAAATATATTCCATTGTCATAGAATTCACAATGGGTGTCTAGTTCTCAGTCTGAATGTTAACTTCCCCATGCGGACGTCCAACACAAAGAGTGTTATGAACCATGACTTATTATTTACATCCATCCTGTACATTATTAATATTTCCAACATTCCAAACATATGGAAAGTACCGATTGAATAAATGCAATGGAAAAACAAAGGTGGAAACATTGCTTTTTATAGGTTTCTAAGTACCTTCTGGTCCATTATGTTAAGAGTTTTAATGACAACTAAATGCTACTTTTCTTTTATTATAAATTTCTTCTTATTCTAAATATTTTTTAAAATATTCTAATTATTCTAATTCTTCTTATTATAAATTTAGTTACTGATTTACTACTTTGACTTCAGGTATATGATTTGATTTGTTTCTTTTAATTTACAGGTGTGATTTTTTATTACATATTAGGCACATTTAACAGATGGCAAAATACAAATGTGCTGATAATTACAGTCTAAGTTATGAATTTTCCATCCATGTTAGAATTCCCCGAGTGCATTAAAGTTATTTACCAGAAAGCTCTTTGATGGCATAACTAATCCATTTGGTTTTGTCCCTAATAGTGGAGTTGTCCAGACTCTCAAGAAAGGAGAAGTTTTTTTATATGAGATTGGAGGAAATATTGGTAAGCACATTTTTTCCTCTATATTTCTTATGCTGCATTAACATTACAAGTGGTTGTTATTTATGCCTTTGGTAGGGAGATAACAGTGAATTAGAAGTAAAGTAAAAGAGTCTGCAGATGTTGTTGATAGGTGCCTTCGAGTTGACGGACACTCATAGTGGCAGAATAGATTGGAATCCTGCCCCATCCTGCACTGTCAGCATGATCTCCCCAGGCTCTAGACTCGTCGTCCCTATGTTAGTCCATCTCATTGAAGTTTCCTGTCTTTCATTGACCCTTTACCTTTCCCAGATTGATAACTGATGAATTTGTGGATTTGATGTTCTAATCTTTTTGTTTAGGTTTTGTTTGAACTCCTTGAGCTCAAATACCTATCTATGTTTAAGTTTGCACATTCACTGTAACAGAAATTTCTTAATATTAATAATGTGCCTAATTCAGGCCATAGTCTTTGCAATTACTTGCTGTGCATCAGAGAGCTGGACAATAACTAGTGATGATAGAAGGAGAATTGATGCCTTTGAGCTGTGGTGCTGGAGAAAAAGATTGAATATACCATGGACTGCTAGGA